AGGGTTCAGGGTTTAGGGTTTAGGATTTACGGATTTAGGGTTTAAGGTTTAGGGAGTTTAGGGAGATGTATTTTAGGATTTCAAAAGAGTCCCCTTAGGGTAGGGTTTAAGGGTTCAGGGTTAAGGACCCGTCGATTGTATGGGGATTAGAAGAGGTCGGGATTGTGGGACCTCAAACCTATAAACCATTAACTAAACCTTTGGGTTTAGGGTTTAGGGTTCTTAACTCCTAGACCCAAACCCTAAGCCCAAAATGGCTTGATTTGGGGCGCGTCTTCAAGTCGAGATACTCGGAGGGCTCCTGGCTCTGTTTGTGTGAGTTTCTGAAAAGGGGGCCATAAGTGAATTCAGGAATTCAGGGTTTAGGGTTTAGGGATAACAGAGAATCATGGGGGATTGATCCTGTTCAGGGCTTATATCGTGACCGTTTTGAGACAGGCGCGTTGAGATTTTTCAGGGGCCGCAAGGCGCCCTTGTAAGGAATGTATAGGCATGTGTCGACAAGTTCCGAGATAGCCACCTATGCTATCATTGTTTTCTGAGTACGTCGAGTCACGTTGTGGTCATCATGTCTGATATCCTTCAGGTGGACCCCCCACCCAGTAAGAAGGACTATAAGGGATCATTGCTCATTTATATCAGGGTCTCTTATAATCCGATGATACCACTATTACAGGGTGGGGGGTCCCTAATCCCTATAAAGCCTAAACCCGTTCTACCACTATAACAGGGTGGGGGGNNGGGGGGGGGGGGGTGTCCTCCTAAGATATCATTGTGGCTACTTTCCAAGCCGTACCTTGCCTTGGTTGGTTGGTGATACTGCAGGTAACAGTACCATTCTATTGGGGGTTTCCGAAATGAAGGGCCTTTTTGGGGGTCCCCATAATAAGGACCGTAGTATTTTGGGGTCTATATTGGTTCCCTGTACTCTGGGGAACTACCAAATGTTGTAAGCAGCACGTTCCTTTAACCTGAAAAGTTTTAGTCTGGCATGAGCCAGTTTGTAAGACCTACATCTTAGACCCTTAAACCCTAAACTCGAAACCCTACACCCCTTACGATGCAGTGGAATGGCCCTAAACCCTAAGCTCCCTAAACCCTAAACCCTAAATCCCTAAATCCCTAAAACGCTAAACCCTAAACCCTAAACCCTAAAACCCTAAACCCTATACCCTAAACCCTAAACCCTAAACCCTAAACCCATGGAGGAAAGCCCTTACAGCTGCGCGCGCCGGCGCGAAAGAAGCGGAGGCGGCGGGAGCTGTGTGTTCGCGCCAGGCCAGGAGCTTTGGAATTTAGGGTTTAGGGAGTTTAGGGATTTAGGGATTTAGGGATTTAGGGATTTAGGGTTTAGGGTTTAGGGTTTCTAGGGGTTTAGAGTTGAGGGGTTTAGGCTCTAGGGGTGTGGGTGTAGGGGTTGAGGCTGATTTTGAAAGTGTTGGGCTATTATCTACCTACTTTTTGGGTCCTGGTAGGGGTTTGAGGTTTAGGGTTTAGGGCTTCCCTTAGTAGCCCCCCTACACTACCCCCGGAATTTTCCTTAATTCGCTTGAATTATCTCTCAATAGCGCTACGTAAGGCGGAACCTTAGGGGTGGAGGGGTGGGGTAACAGACCGATGAGATCTGCATCATTCCGCAGATTTGCCGATAGTAGCCACTAAGCGTTTAGGGTAGCTCAAAAATGTGCCTCAAATAGCCCCGGATGAATCCGTATGTCATTACAATTCCCCATATTAACCTAGAGCATAAATTTGTAGATCTTTCTGAGGTCTTTGCGTAGGGCTTCAATGTGAGGATCGTCGGAGACATGCAGCTGTTGCTAAAATGAATTTAAGATCCAGCCACCCCGGTAAGGCAAACCCCAGCGACCCCCGTCAAGAGCAATCACCATTATCATTTCTTAGCGCCTCGTATGACTTCAGTACGATGTGACCCCAAAACTCAACTGTGTAATTGACCAGTACTTGCGGAGAAGGGCCTTGCTAGGCTTACATTATATAAACATGGGCGTCCCGCTCCTGCCGTACTATGACCAGCAACGCAAGGAACCGGCTAAGTTCCAGACAGCTACATTGACGCATTCAGCACCATATGTCTTGATTCAAAAAGGAGACCCCGATTGCAGAAATTCCAACACTTCCTCACTGCTGCGGGCACATGTTCCGTATCTCTCTACACAACACAGCCGTGGCCCCGTACGAGCGGGAGGACATGCTGACCTCATAGCTGGGGTTCTGGCACGTCGACAAGACGTGAGGGTCTCAAATCCGATTTCATTTGGGGAGTCCACGTCACGATGCTTCTCTCGGTGCTTTATTAGGAGCCACCTTGCGAGCGGTGAATTCTGCCATCAAGCTTGCTACAGTTTCGTGATGAGCGATGAGCCAGTTACCAGCCGGAATGCACGCGCATATTACACTCCCCCAAACTAACATGGAAACCCATATAGCCCCATTTTAGAGGGACTGTAGTCTTTATAGGGCCCCTTTTGGGTTTCCATGTTAGTTTCCAGGAGTGTACATCCTGAAGACTTACCCACAAATCTGCTTTAAACGCCACGTTGTATCTTCTGGGCCCAGAGTTGGGCAAATACACACAGGATCGGATGCGGACTGCACCACGAAAAGGGTGCCCAGCGTCCTCCCTTAAGCCCAGGTCCTTGAGCTTGCAGCCCGGAGCTTTGCAAGTTGCTTTGGTAGGCGCAGCTGATTGAAAGACTCAAAGGACGTATCCAGCAAGCGTCGCAGCCTCTCGGACATTGCAAGTTGGGAAGACATCTCATGTTGACTGGGAAGGTGCAACTAAAAAAGAACGACTTGACGCAACGAGGGTTAAGGTTGATTTATTTGAAGCTGGAGGGAGATTAATCCTCTGAGAGAGAGAGAGAGAGAGAGACAGAGAGAGAGAGAGAGAGTGTGTGTGTGTGAGCGAGAGGGAAAGAACACATGTCATTGCAGGCCTGCTGGTCCTTTACCTTACTACTGGTTAGTAGGGAATAGGGGAGTATAATCCCTACATAATATGTTCTCTACTAACTAATCCCCAGTAAGTAACTTGGAGGTTGGGAGAGGGTCCCGTCAGCAATCCCTGCATGAAGGTCAAATCCCCTATGATAGTACGTGCAGTCCCTACCTACCTTGTGGGTTGTCCCTTTTTTGGGTCCCGCAAGATGCGGCACCTAATATTTCAGATGTATGCCTAGAAACCCTAACTCTTGCCATATTCACTCCACCCTAAAAATATATCACAAAGATGCAGCTTGAGGGCTTCAGGTTTCAGATTTTCGGATGCTATGGAAATCGGGTTTACCACTCAGATCAGGAGTTTCTGACAAACAGGCATTAGAGATGTGATGTGGGATGGGTTCAGTATTACTATTATCAGGTTTCATACCCATCGTTTGCCGCGCTTCGCGGCTAGAAAGTGTAGATTTCATTGGCCAGCGCAAGGGATTTGCATGCCAGGTGACGGAAGACAATCACCAAAAGATTGGTGAATTTTGGATGTTTATGCAACCCT